TTATTAACCTAATTTTACTTTTAAAAAGTAATTTGTTGCATGTTACTCTCATTTTGAAAGGGAGATAATTTGTTAACATTACTCATTGCATAATAAAGAGTAAAAAGTACATTAAGTGTTAATAATGTTATTTTTTTTTCAATATATTTTCATTATTTTTAAGTACACTGAATAATACAATAAGGGCTGAAACCCTCAAATGATCCCCAAAAGCAACATTTTAACAGTAACTAATAAGCAAGACTTGTTACAGTAAAAAATAATTAGCCATTACATTTTTTCACAAAAAAAAGATCATCATGCTCTTGTTGCCTCCAAAAGTAACACATTTGATTTAAATTTGTTACTTCCAATTTGATAGTTTAACATATGTAGCCATTTTTGCTGGAGGGAACTCAACCCTCTCCTGAAATCACAAGGTTAAACATGACATATTCTCACTATATAAGATCTAACAAGAAGAGACAGTGGGGTGTAGTACTTTGAGTATTGGACTCTGGAGACCAGGGTTCAAATCGCCACTTAGCCATGGAAACCCTCTGTGACTTTGGGCAAGTCCCATTCCATCAGTACACAACAACATCTAGCAAACTTTAGAAACTTTGGGATGGCAAAGGAGATGCTGTGTGATACCTCTATGTTAAACTGTACATGATTAGACTGAACGAGGTGTTTGTTTTTAAGAGACTACTCCTTTGTCTCCTTTCTACTTCACTGTTTCTCTTTTAAATAAGTTTTAAATTTGGATTGACTGTGTATTTACACCGCCCAAAAGATTACAAGAATGCCCTTTGTATTTGATTGCTTATCAGAGACTAAGAGAAAATAAGGGATACAGTGGTTTGGACTGTGGTGTTTCAGTGGAGAGCAGAGTTTTGCGTAAAAAAAAAAAATGGATATTGTGTTCATCTACAACATTCAAAATACTCCCCAATGGTAAGTTGGGGATGCTAGCAGCATATTAAATCAGAAACACCATCAACAGTTTGCAAGTGGATTGTGATGAATGCTTTTTGTCATATTCTGACATGACATCTGTGTCCATATGTTCCTAACTATCCTCAATATCCCATTTTGTAGGTTGGACACAATGGAAGAGAAGGGGGGAGCCAGTTATGAAACCAATTACCTAGTGAAGTGGTGGAGTCTCTTTCTCTGGGTGACTTCAGAAAGAGGCAAGATTGCTACCTGTTGGGGATGCTCTAGTTGGATTTCCTATACACAGTGGTCTAGGAGCTCCCTTCCAACTCTTTGATTCTGTGATATCTTTTTCTGTGGAAATGATTGTGTTGGTGCCATAAGAACCTACTCAATTAACAGCTTACTGCCACATGCGTTCTAAGATCCACCTTCTTTAACCTACACAATTCTGAAAGGCCTACCTATTTGTAATTGATGTTACTTTTGTTTTATTTTCATTGTTTTGTTGGAGATTTGCACTCACTTTCCTCAGTGTTTGGGCAGAAACCTTTCCAGCTGAAGACTAGCCATCATTACCAACAAGGCTAAGACCTGGATGGTGCTCCTGCCACACTCAAAGCGAGAAACAGTATCCCTCAGGGAAAGGAGAACATCTGGAATTTCTCCTTATTTCTCCAGATCTGGTTTTAAATTAGCAATATTTTACCATAGTGGAATTGAACAGGAAGGCAGAATAATGTTCTCTTTGTTTGTTCCAATTAAATTGCACTTGCCAGAAAAAGATATGGTTAAAAGAAGAACAAGAAAGTGTTCTTTAATATTCTAGAATGAAGTTTTGGAAAGGCTTCTTAGTAAAGTTCTTAACTTCAGTCTGGTAACCAATAATAAACACATTCCTTTGAGTTCCAAATTATCTGGATGGGAAGTGATTAATCTAATTAATCACAGTGTACTGGATGCTCATTTCACAAAGGGAAAACAACTTGCCATTTAAAGTGTTCAGCTGTTATCTTTCCCAATGAGTGGCACAGTTGCCATTAGGAGTCTCCTGCCAGCAAAAACATCCACTGGGTTCATTTTACCTCCACATATTTTTGCACTTATGCTCCAATAAATATAAGCTACCCTAACTGGAACAGACACATTATGACCCTCCTTGTGGCTATAGCCCATAAAACTGTTTACTATGGAGCCATCTTAAGGCTTACCGTAAAGTTCAGGATAAGATGACTCCAGAATACAAAGTCAGCCAACTTGATCCACAGGCAAGATATGGTATGTGGATTTTTAGCCCCAGTTAGAACAGGCTTGTTCAAATGGAAGATGACTGAATGCATCCCAAATAAGAATAATGTTTATCCAGGCATTTAGTTAATGCTTAATGAAGGCCAACATGATTTGGGATCCAGCAAAATCTCTGTAGTCTGTGACAACCTCCCTAGTTCCCTACTCTTTCTCTTCATAGACAGAAATCAAAACATTAGGTTGATTGATGCAGCCTTGGTGAAAATGTCTTTCACTTTCCTTAGCACTTCATTTTCCTTAGTAAAATATTTTCTCTGTTTTGCTGTTTGTTTTTGACATTTAACTTCCATGCCTTAAAGATTTGTCTTTCTACACAAAGCACATTCTTGAGAGTGGCAAAGGGAAGCATCCTGACTGTAGAACACATTGATGTAAAGGCCATCTCTCCCCAGTAAACAGTTTGAGACCTAAGAATACTGGGGACAAAACACCTTCTGTTTAAACTTGTCTTAAATACTAAGAACCCTATTTGCATCCCTTTGAGATCAGTAACTACCACACAAAATCATTCTCTATGTTGTGGCTTCCTTCCAAAGATGAGAAAAATAACCTACTTGGCCTTTGCAGACTGCCAGAAATAGTGCACATTAAATTGAGTCACTGCCCTGGCTCAGTGCTAGGGAATCATGGGAACTGTAATTTATTGTGGCACCAGAGCTCTCTGACAGAGAAGGCTCAATGTCTCAGAAAAAAATAGAATTCCCATGACTCCCTAGCACTGAGCCAGGGCAGTGCCTCAATTTAATGTGCACTATTTCTGGCAGTCTGCAAAGGCCCTTAATATCCTATTTTCTTTCCCTGTAAATACCTTTTTATTTGCCCGGACCTTGAAGTATTATTTAATTAATGGTGGTGGTATTATTATTATTATTATTATTATTATTATTATTATCATCATCATCATCCTACTCTTCTCTTATCACAATATTCAAGGCGGCATACAACCATTTAAAACAAAGTACAGCTAAAGTACAACAGCCAGCATGGTGTACTGGTTTGAGTGCCAGACTACGACTTTGGAGACCAGGTTTCAAATCCCTTTTCAGCCGTGGAAAATCACTAGGTGACCTTGTGCAAGTCACACACTCTCATCCTCAGGGGAAGGCAACAGCAAACCCCTTCTTAATGAATCTTGCCAAGAAAACCCCATGATAAGGTCATCACATGTTGGAAATGTCTTAAAGGCTAACACAACAACAACAGTTAACTAAAACAATCTTAATACAAAAGTTAAAAATTAAACCACATATTTCCATTTTTACAAACAAACTAAAAACAATTGTAAAAATTATCTGAAGATGCCAGCCACAGATGCTGGCGAAACGTCAGAAGGAAACTCTTCTAGAACATGGCCACACAGCCCGAAAAACCCACAAAAACAATTGTAAAAATTGTTTTTAATCCCATTGAGCATTGTTCTGAAAACAGATGGCTCCACATTTAAGGGCTGCTCTTGGGTCTTCTTGTGTCTTGATTACTTGATTACATCAGGCTATCAGAGCTTTCCTATCAGCACCTATCAAGAGCCATTGTTTCAATTTTTCATGGTGTTCAAGACATGTGTACAGGATTCCAGATTGTCATTTTCTACTTTATATTACATATGTTTGATTGTATAATATTTCTAAACACTTTCAGAATTTGATGGAAAGACTGTCTTTGTATTTTTTAAAATTTCAGCATGATGCAAGGGCATGTATTTTTGCTGGTATGAAGGATGTTGGTTTCAACTACTTCCTGGTCCTTGGGACTGAAAAGAAGGGAAGAGGAGAAAACAGACATTAAGGAGGCAGCAACATGGGTTCTTCACCCATGGTATGAACCTACCTTTGCAGTTTGTTGAGCAGACATCTATACCATCAGTTAGTTTCCACTCTTCCATTTGTTCCCATGGCAGGCTGGCAATGTTACAAACACTAGCTAAGTGGCACCTTTAGCAATCCATTCTATTCCTTGAATGAGGTACAATGCAACCAAACAGATACAGTTAGCCATTGTGATTTAAGCAATCATAACATTGTTGTTTTTTTTAATTTGACCAATTTAAGAACCTCACCCGCAAGCTATAATTTAACTTCATGAATTCTGATTAAAATATTTGTAGCACAGGGTGAAAATATTCAGTATGATCAGCTCTATGCTGCTGTCTTTGTGAATTCAAAGTTAAACCACTCTTTCTTACAGCAATAATAATTTATACTGCTGTACATAGGGAATTATAGATGTTATGCTGTTCAACTCTTGATTGGAATCAGCTATGGTATAGTTGGCTATTATTCTATCACCCCTTTTTCTTCTATGTTAACCCCGCCCCTTACATATAATTATCAGTTGCCATAAATAAACAATGAATTTCCCATTCAATTTGTTCTAACTTCAATTAACAAGGATGGACTCCTGACATTTTTTGAATTTAGCTACAAATCCATCCTGGAAAATGGGTTGGCCAGTCTAAATTTTCTACCTGCAGATCAATTTATTCAGTATTTGAAATTACATACTTTTATTGCCTTTCTATCTATCTTTCTATAAATTATGTATTGTCCTTCAGTATAAATATTTCAACAATTTGAACAATCAGATCTGCAATTACTCAAAACTTGAGATTATATAGTGAAAAAAGTAGCACCTACGTAATCTCATAAAGTAAAATAAAATAGGAAAGGCATGAGTTAACAGAAGAAGTTTGACACCAGACAGAAATCAGAAGAGGGTTAGATAAATTAATGAAAGATTGGACTATCTAGGCTAGTAGCCATGAGGCTAGTAGTTCAGTCTTCATAGGCAATATAAACCTTTTGAGAAGAGGCTACAATTCAGTAGTAAGAGCACATAATTTACATGTAAACCATCCCAGGTTCAAATCTCAGCACTTCCAGAATGGGCCAGGAAAGATACATGTCAGAAAGCTGTAGAGAACCATTGGCAGTTAGTGTAGATCAGGAGTGGAGAAGTTGTGCTTTTACAGATGCTACTGGGCTGCATCTCATTCACCATTGGCTTGGGCTGTTGGGAACTGCCAACATTTATCATGTTGCCGTGCAGTAAATTTTCAACTGATCATCATGGGGCAGTCAGTGGTCTTAATGAACTAATAATAATATATTATATGCATGCTAATAAATACCTATGCTAAGAAAAATGAGAGTGCCTATCCTAACTAAGTATGTACCTCTTTGTAAATTTTGTTAAGAGGTTTAAACTCTGTTGCACCTCAAAGTATGATATGGAAGCATTTAGATTCCATTTTCCCAGAGGAAACAAACATTCTGTTTCTTATGCAAAAATTAAACTGGAAAGCCAGTTTCCCAGCAATGCCAAGTTTTGCTTCTAAAAGTGCTCCTTCCACATCCTCCACTGCTGGTTGCACCTATACTTGGCCACTGAGAGAAAAACCACTTTGCGTCTGCATTTTCCCATGCTAATGTGAAGGGAATCTATTTTGGTCCATTACAGATGGAAATAATGTTGCACAAAGTTACTCCACGCAACTAGAGATTTTAAAAGCAATTAGAGATTTGAGTAGGGGAATCTACTACTGTGACCCCCCCTCCCTTTAATCAGATGGTTTGGCATATGGCCATGCAAATAGTTCTAATAATAATATAAAAAACCCTTCAAACCTGCATAAATATTGAAGTGCAGCCGCCGCCAAACCACATTCCACAATGGTATCTAATGTTTGGGTTCAAAATAGCAGAAATGTTAATCAGCCCCACCAGATGCTGTTATACTAGCCTCTCTCACCAGACTGCCTTGTATCTTCTTGCCTCCATTTGGCAATAAAAAATATTTTAAATAGGTAGAAACTTTTTTTCTTTTGATGCATATAGTTCTAGTGAGTGATCTTATTCTTCAACATATAAAGAAATGGGCACATTTTAAGAATTAACATGATAAGATTTCAGTTTCTTCACTGTCTGTTACTGAGTAGACTGCATTTCATGCCATCATTGCCTATCTCTCATCATGTTCTTGTGCAGTCAGGAGGTATGTGTGCAGAAGTCAGATTGCAGTCTTCATTGTAAAGACCTTACAGTCTCTAGCATGTGTTATATTGATATAACATAAATCAACCCCACCTTTAACAAAGAGACAATAACCATTTTAACCTTCCAACGAATGGGACTCTGCACTTCCAACCCTGTGAGGTAGGACAAGCTGTTAGATGTTCTAATTTATAGGTACGAATAACTCAGCTTCCGTGTCTTTGCCTTTGGAAAGAGCTCTTTTCATTTCCATTTTCTTTGTCCTCAGGATGAATCATACGGAAAAACCTGGTGAACTGCATCTTTGTGTTTTCTGCATGTTTTGTTTGGCTGTTGTGTAGTCTTTTTTTTGGGGGGGGTGCATTTATTTTTTAGTCTGCAGCTGCCAGTGTAGAGAAAAGAAACTGATTTTCTATGGAATTTACATGGAGGCTTTCTAAAACTGCTTGTGGTAACTCAGTGAGTAAAAAAAAAGTCACTTTATGAATGTTCAGAGACTATCTTTTGTTGTGCGTATTGTTTGGCAATAAAGATGAGGATATTTAAGGGTAATAGTACATTCCATTCAAAGTGCTGGTTATGACCAATAAAATCCTTTTAGACTTACGCTCAGGCTCAAGATGTTTGAAGGACCGTGCCTTCCCATATGAGATTGCCTGAGCTTTAAGATCTGCAGGGGAAGCATTTCTCTGTATCCCATCACCTTCCCAGACATGACTGATGGGAATAAGAGAGAAGGCCTTCTCTGTGGCTGCTCCCACACTTTGGAACTCTTTTCCTAGGGAAGCTTTGTTGTCTTTTTCATGACAGGTTATGACCTTTCTTTTCCAGCATGCTTTTGGAAACTGATCTGTTTTACAAGAAAAGGGCTCTCTCTGTGTGTGTTGTGTACCTTCGTCATTTCTGACTTATGGCGACCCTAAGACAAACTTATCATGAGGTTTTCTAGGCAAGATTTGTTCAGAGGAGGTTTGCCATTTCCTTTCCCTGAGGCTGAGAGCGTGTGACTTGCCCAAGTTCATCCAGTGGGTTTCATGGCCAAGCTCTGAGTGCCCCCTCTGGCATGCATGTCATAGGTTCGCCACCACTGGTCTAGGAGAGAGGCAGGATATAAATAAAGGGATGGATGGATGGATGAATGGATGGATTCACCTGCAAAATGCATACAGGTTTTTGTTTTTTTTTGGTGTATAGGAGTTAATTTGATCAGAAAAGATTTGATCAGATTTAATCTATGGAAGGGAGTCAGTATGAAAGGCTCCTTTGTAGCTGTAGCAATGATTCTTTGATACACTCTTTTGTGACTCTTTGAAGTTGCATCAAGGTAATCACATTTGTTAATCCTCAGATATATGGGTTCCTCTCCTCTTTTTCTTTTTTCTCTCTCTCACATCATAGAACAACCACATTTTTTCAACTCTTTGAAAAAAATGAGATTAAGTAGAGTGTGTGGAATCAGTGCCCTCCAAATGCTGCTGGACCACACCTCTCAACCCCTAACAGTCAGTCATATTGTCTGGGGATGATGGAAGCTGGAGTCCAGCAACATCTGAAGAGCATCAGGTGCCCCAGAACTCGAACAGAGGGCCCCCTACCCTTTTAAATTAATGTACATATAAGTAGATCAGTAGATTTTGTTTTGTTATTCCAGGTAACCTAGTAAATTCTGAGGAGTTTCTTTCAAGGGTCTGGAAAAGTATATTTTATTTCTTTATGTATCTATTCATAACAAAACAGTTTGACAGATACATTCATCTTTTATTTGATTTTTTGACACATAGTTTTACAAATGCAGACCCACCCTCCTTGGATGTATGTAATGCCTAGAGCGATTTAGAAATACTAGTGTCCTCTTGTATTTCTCTGTATTAGGGTTATTATGAAGTGGTCTTGAGATACAGTGTCCAAAACATTTTTTAAAAAGTGGGATTTTAGTATCTTCCTACCACTCTGCATCAATTTTTGAGCCTGCCTTATTGGTTCATAGGAGTATTTGACTGGATAGGCAACTCAGAGGACAGTGGTCCCTCCACATTTACTAGGGTTACGGGTGAAGGACC